CGAAACTTTAATTGTATTCCCTTGCTCTCCAGGTGGGCGCCTGATTGCCAAAACTTCAACTGTATTCCCTTGCTCTCCAAGTGGGCGCCTGATTGCCTAAACTTCAACTATATTCCTTTGCTCTCCACGTGGGCGCCTGATTGCCAAAACTTTAATTTCACTCACTTGCTCTCTAGGTAGGCGTCTGATTACTTAAACTTTAATTATATTCCCTTTCTCTCCAGGTGGGTGCCCGATTGCCAAAACATCAACCGTATTCCCTTACTCTCCAGGTGGGCGCCTGATTGCCGAAACTTGAACTGTATTCCCTTGCTCTCTAGGTGGGCGCCTGATTGTCGAAACTTTAATCGTATTCCCTTGCTCTCCAGGTGGGCGCCTGATTGCCAAAACTTTAATTGTACTCCCTTGCTCTCCAGGTAGGCGTCTGATTGCCGAAACTTGAACTGTTCATCTGAAACTACTGCCTTTGAATTTGATTACAACAAAACAAACAAACAAAAGAAATTTTCCTACCCCAGTTTGGTGTTGGGCGCATCTATGAGTGTTAATTGAATCATGTCACCAAATATATCTATGAATTTGAAAGCTAAATCTCATTATCCATGAGGGTCCTGAGAACTCCTAGTTAAATGACAACTTTACATCTAAATTATATCTTCTAAAGGTATGACTCCTACTAAACCTTATTATCTAAGAGGGTCTTAAAACTACATTCCATTATCCAGGAGGGTCCTGAAAATCAAAAATCAAGTTTTATCTTAAGAGTGACAACTTTTACGGCTAAATTATACTACCCTACAACAGAACTTACCATAAATCTTGTTATCTAATGGAAATCGTAAAGCTAAGTACCATTATTCAGGAGGGTCCTGAAAGCTCTTAATTGAATCCTATCTCAAGCATGAAAACTTTGAAGCCAACTTATAATCCTTTGGGGTGCATTTATACTAGATTTTTCTACTCATGATTGTTTTGAATTTTAAACTAGGTCCCATTTTCCAGGAGGGTCCTGAGAATTTACGGTCAAACCTGTCTGGTGCTTGCTTTTCCTTACGGAGGGTTTCTTCGAAACAAACGGAATTTTCTGCCCCTGTTTCAAATCAAGAAAAATCTTGTCAGTTTTAAAAATATGGTGGTTGGTTTGTGGCCTTGACTTTGATGGCGATTGCTCTTTCAGTTCCCATGATAACTTTGATTTCCACTCGAAGACCTTGCTTGTTTATTGACTAACCACTTTCTTTGTCACCCGTATCACAGAAAATACCTCTTCTTCGTTTAGACCCAATACCTTCTATCTGTTGCATTGCTCATGAACTGACATTTACCGAACCTTTGTGTCTCACATGAATCCCAAAGCACGTCAATTGCTACCCACTCAGTGCATATGTTGTTCCTTCTTGACTTAAACAATTGGCCTTGGCCTTGAAGTCTATTGCTCCATCACTTGCCATGATAACTTTGATTTCTGCTTGGAAGACCTTGCTTGTCACTGGTTAACCACTCAATTTTATCACAGAAAATACCTTTGATCCGTTCCAACCCAACACCCTCTATTTGTTGCATTGTTCATAAATTGACATATACCGATCTTTTGTATTTCACATGAATCTCAAAGCACGTTGATTGTTACCAACTCAGTGCGCTTGTTGTTCTTTCTTGACTTATGACACTTTGATGTGCTAGCCAGATCCCGTTTTGTGCAATTGGAAAGATGGTGTCAAATTTTGAAGTCATTTCTCACTTGTTCTGACCAAACAGACTTAGGAAGAGGAAGTAAACAAGACAAAAGGAAAAGAGTAAAAGAACAATGGAACGAGACGATTCCTAACAAGAAAACTACAAAGTAGAAACTTATCAGATGTGGATACCAACTCTAATGACCATGACAAGCACCTTTGGAGTAAGTGGCCTAATCTGTCAAGCAAGTCTGATGTTCAACTCTTGTTGTGCCTTTTCGCCGTGAAACTGGGCTTCAATGCTCTGATTATCCAATCCAATTCCTGATCCTTATTCGACTTGTAATGCCCGAAGGGTTTTCACTTTCAAGCCTCTCTCTTTTTGTTATTTCTTTCGACTAATCGTCGCCTTATGGTGCTTGTAAAAGTTTTCACCGAAAAGACTTTCTCATTTTGTTCTTTTCTTCTTATTTCCTCCGATTCTGCAGATGATAAGGCATTAACCATGGTAAAAACATCATATACTCCTGGCATGGCTAACTCATCACTCTCAAAGATTATCTAGGAGGTCTTTTTTGGACTGTAATGTGGCTTTTGGACAGGATTAGAAAGAAAGAATATCATATAGGCTCAAAATAACTAAGACAATGGAGTTAATTTATTTACAACTTTTGGAATTTATTTTAAAAACTATTGCCCCAATTTCTAAAACAGGGGTATGAAATATTTTATTTGGTATGACCAAACCGTGAGGCTGTCTACGTATCTTGTGGTGACAAGAATCAGGTTAGACGTAGTTCACATGACTACTTTTGTTGTTGCTATTTTTCTTTTTCTTTTCTTTTTCTCTTTTTTTCTTTTCTTTCTTTTCCTTTTTTATCTCTATTTTTCTTTTCTTTTTTTTTGAATTTTTCTTTTGGTATGAACCTTTTCAAACAAACCAATTGGGACATAAACCTTTTTTTTATGACTCTAATTTGATTCCAAAAGAAGGGAGGTCAAAGAAACTAGTATAGGCTCAATAGGGTATCATATGGTATAAGTGTTTGGGTAACTGAAATAGGGCCTCCCAATCCCTGAAAATGCCAAGTGCAACACATGCAACTTGAAATGAAAATTGAAGATCATGCACAATATTTCTTTTGCAGCTTCGGCATTGGTATTACTGATATGCCTTCCACTTTTCTCTAGCGCCTTGTCAAGTGCAGAACCCTCGTTGGGTGATTCCCTTTTCACAATGGATATCCTCCGTCAATTCGGAGACAACTTTCTTGACTTTATCTTGTAACTTGAGATGCACTTGAACTCAAAGTTGCTTGCTTCAAATCGTCCAGGATGCACTCTTCTTTTGACGAATTCTTGTTACCTTATTAACTTCCCAAATTATCTGCCCCAGTTTCACATAGTTCGGGCTTCAAATGATCTCAAAATTATGTACTTATTTCCTTCAAATGGCCCAATCATCTTCAAAATTGCTTCATTGCTTCATGAGTAAACTAACTTTTAAGACTAGGCCTAGAATTATTTG